GTGATTGGCCAGAGCACCAGGGAAACCCCTTCCCATCCTGTCTCTTGTGCTTCCTCAGGTGACTCTCATCCCAACACACGACACGGAAGTGACCCGGGAATGGTACCAACAGACCCACGAGAAGCAGCAGGAGCTAAGCATCATGGTCCTGGCCAGCAGCAGCACAGTGGTGATGCAGGATGAGTCCTTTCCTGCATGCAAGATCGAGTTCTGAGGCCCCCCTGGCTGCAGCAGCGCATCTCATCCGTCCATCCGCCTTCCCCACCCCCCACCATGCAGCACTGGGAGATCCATCTACTCACAGCGCAAGTCTCCTTCCTGTCCCAAATGTGGTCTGGATTTGCTGGGCACATGCTGCCTGCACATGGCTCTTGTTTGCCACCATGCCCAGGACGTGTCCAGCATGCCTGGATGTGTGTGGAGTGGAGGGACCCTCTTGGGAGCTGCTTCACTTTTCCAGATTTATTTTGCTGCCTCCGTCATTGCTGTAGAATAATTCAGCTGCTTTGATGCTGCTTGCGAAAGCGCTGCCCCCTCCCTCCCCGCTTCCTTGCCTGAGGGCTCTTCTGACCTCCAGAACTTTGTCCGACTTAGCCCACGGGGTAGCTTCAGATGGAAGCAGCACAAGAGACCAGTAAAAAGGAGGACGAGAGCAGGAAGAGAAGGAGAGACACCATTCCTCAGCCTCTCAGGTGTGAAGTGAGAACTGAGCTGGGAGGAGGAGGAGGAAGAGGAGATGATGACACAGAAAAGTGGAAACCGGCTTGCCTGCCCCCCAACACTCTGCCAAAGCTGTGCTGGAAAAAGAATCCAGCCTGGCGCACCAAGGAGTACATTGCAGAGAAACCCTTCAGCTCTGCAGTCAGAAAATGCCAAATACTGCATCTTCAGCAGTGCCAGAGGTGAAGCTGGCCCCTGCCAAGTGACTCTGCCCTTTGGAGGAGGATCATGTTTATAAAGTCCCAGTATTTCCCTGTGAGCAAAACGGTGGCTAGAAGGGGGGAAATTGGGGTAGGTGGGTGGGGACTGGATCCCTCTGGGGATGGAGCTGGCACTGCTGCACATACAAGGACATCCTTTCCTCCCGTTTGCTAGAACTGAGGGCCAAACCAAGTGAAGGGGGTGTTTGCAGGCTCTTCCTCCAGCTCCCCGCATGCACTGCCATTCTCCCCGCAGCTATTGCAGATAGCATTAGAGGCCCTTCAAGCTGTCAGCAGCCACAGTGGACCCCCGTTTTCGTCCTCTGTGCTGCTGGCAAAGCCAGGGCTGATGGCCCAGCACATTGTAGCCACGGGGAAGGAGGGGGCAGAGCACACTTGGGAAGTCACAAATCATGTGTGAAGCTTGGGCAAGCTCTGAAAAAGGCTTACAGAGTCTTTGGGTGTGGCTCTTGGTCTAGGAAAGAATGTGCTCAGCCCTCTTAGCTGGTCTAAATTGTTCCTGCCATCAGACTGGCAAAAACGGAAAAAAGAAAAGAAAAAGTGGAGCTGGGGAGAATCCCATAGGAACTATTTTTCTGGTCACTTGTCTATATATTTATTTTGGGTTTCTTTGGGTTGTAATTGGAACTGACCTTTTATTGGAACTGTGTATGCTATTTGTGTGTGTGTGTGTGTGTGTGTGTGTGTGTGTGTGTGTGTATTTAAAATATTTTTACTGTGAGCTGCCATCACCACAGTGAAGGCTTCTGGGTTTCAGGGCACAGGGTAAACATCACATTTCTAAATGCAGTAAGCTTGACAGATGATAGACAAGCCCCTGCCCCCCTGCCTTCCCCCTGGCATTTGGTTCTGCAGCCTCCAGGGGCTCAGTTCCATGCTCCAGCTCCCTGCCCTGCAGGAAGGGGCCCAGCAAGCCCAATTGTTGCTTTCCTGTTGAGCTTATCCATTGTGGTTTGGGTCTTGGACTTGCCCTCATGGCTTGTGATGAGGCAGCAGCCAGAGACCAGTGCCTACAAGCCATGTATGCTCAGGCCCAGCAGCAGAGGTGGTGGGTTCCCTGGGCCTGGACAGACAAGCTGCTGCACTAACCCACCTATGAATGTGTCTATCTTAAAACTTGAAGCAGGGGCCAGTGGGATTTAGACCCACTGCTCCATCAGAGGAGAAAGTACTTCAGGGGAATATCTTCCCCCACATCCCTCCCCGCCCCATGGTTACTCAATGATCTGCTCTCCACAACCCCAATTTCCCCACCCAACCAGCTTGAGTCCTTCCCCAAAATTTGTAGTTTTGAAGCTGGCTTCAGCATCTCTCTTCTTCACGTTCTACGGCAAACCTTGTAAAAACTGCTGTTTATAATGCACCCAGACTGAGCTCCATTAGCAATCCCACCACCACCCACCCAGAGGGACCGTTGGGGAGCCCAGGAAAGAAATGACGAGAAAGACATTGAGCTCCTGCTTCTGCTTGTTCCTGCATGGGGACCCCAGCACGCAATTCCTCCTCTGCTGCGTCATGCTCATGGGGACCTTTCTCAAAGGCAGCAGCGGCGAGAAGGACTTCTAGGCCAGCTCCCGTTGCTACTGAATGTTGTATAAATAGAGCCCAGTGCTCCCCCCGCCATCCTCCTCCATGTTATGTACAATCCAAGGTCCTGAGTTTCCTCTCCCCCCTCCCCTCGCATTTCTGTGTGCAACTCTCTGTAATTCTAATGATTGTAAATGGAGGGGCCTGCACTAACCAATAAAGCCACATTAACTGCGACTCAGAAGGGGCTCCTGTCCTGCTTCCACTGACTGATGCACTGGCAAAGTGCCCAGCCCTGGTCCTCCACCCACCGCTGAGTCTCTTCCAGCCTTTTGGAGCTGGGTTTCTGCTCCGCTGCCAGCATCCATGACCCAGTGTCTCTCCGGCCCAATGACATTGAGCGCCATAGGTCAAGGGAAGGAGAAGGGCTGCTCTGTTCCCTCAAAGCCCCTCTGGGGGCATTCCAGCGCAACTGCCTGCCTGGGCCTTGCTCCTGCTGCTTCCCTCACCCCACACAGCAGAGGCCTAAAGGGGTCAGGGGAGGGCAGGCCAAAAGGTTTATCTCCTTTTTGCTTGGTGGGGAATGAACAGAACAACCTGCTTTGTTGTCCACATACCTTTGGTTCAAAATAGCATTTCCAGAAAACTGCTCAGGTTTGATGTTTGCAGCACAAGAACAAGGATTTGGCCTCTGTTTGTGTAACGTTCCTCATGAGCCATAGAATCAAAGAATCTTAAGAGTCGGAAGGTGCCCAAGGGTCACCTAGACCAGAGCAAAAGAATCCAGAAGAGAATGGCACCCTAGAAAACAACTGGTTTCCCTTGTAGGTATGGAACACCAACAAAGAGTGCAAGAGCAGAGCAACCTTCTATCTGGGCCACCAACACAGGCCAGACAGTTGGGAGACCCTCAAGGTGAGGGAAAGAGCTGCCTCCTGCAACTGTGGTTGTTGAATCCCACCTCTGTGAAATTCTGCATCTCCATCACAACGGATTATGTGCAATTTCTTCCTCTCACTCATCCCAAATCTAGTCCAGTCCATTTCATTGGGCAGCTGCCAGTTCTAAAATTATGTGAGAGGCAGAAAAACTATCTCCACACTGTGAAACCCTCTGTAATTCTGACCCCCACTAATTGCCTTCCCCCTCCAAACTAAAGAGTCACCAATATTTGTCTTTCCTTGCATGAAGGTGTTTCAACTCGGTGGGGTAGATCAGAACTGCACACAGTATTCCATATGTATTTCCTTGATAACCACGGCAGCATGCATAGTTTTTGTTCTGTTCTTTGCATATCAATTTACATTTACATTGGGCAGCATTTGCCACTTTCTTGCCTATTCAACAAACCTGGAGAGAACCATTTAGGGTGCTGAACAATATAGTTTGCTTTTTACACTCACACACACACACACCACACACACAACACCAAAAAAAAACCCCACACCAAAACAGCATCTAAGGTGGCTGCTCCTTCCAACCTCCAGATCCTTGAGGGAGAAGTTAAAAAGCACCAGCACCATTGCAGGCCCTTGCCTTGTAGGAGTTGGGGGAGGAGAGAATCCCTCTCCTCTGAGAATTGCAGGTTTATTCCTACTCTCCGCTTTATGTTGTTTAACCAGTTCCTGACCTAAAAAGAAGAGCTGTCCCCTCACCCCAAGGCTGCTAAATTTGCTCGGCAGCCTTTGGCAAGCGTCTGTTAAAGTCTTACTGAAAATACAAGTATGCAGGATCCACGTGTTTGTTGACACACTCAAAAGAACTCCAAAAGTCTAGCAAGGCCAGATTTGTTCGTCCATATTGGGGTAGTCAATTTAGTGCCCCCCCCCCATGTTGTTCCACTGGAAGAACTCCCAACATCCCAGATGGGTCAGGCAGGCTACATGGAGCCAAAGGGAGTTGGCGTCCCAAAACATCTGTAAGGGAGCGTGTTGGCTCCCCTTGTTCTATATGATGCTTTGTAATTTTCACTTCAAAAACATGTTCCACCAACCACCCAGACAGATGTTGCGATGGTGGCCAAGCTGTCCTCCTCTTTGAGCAAAATGCCCCTGCCTCAGGAAAGACTGCTTCCTTCTCACACAAACAGACCTCCAAGGGTTTTCAGACACCCTCCTTTTGTGTCACTGATGTCCTGCAGCTTCTCTTAGCAATTATACAGCCCTTAAACGGCAGGAGGAAACAGTGCTCTAGTGCTCAGGTCCTGCTTGCAAGCTTTCCACTGGGGCACTTGGTGGCTACTGTGAGCAGACGACGCTGGACAAGATGGGCTTCCGCTGGCCTGATCCAGCAGGTGCATTTTAAGTCCTTTCTAGTGCAGCTGCTAATTCTGCCTAAGGAACCCCCTCTATACTGTGCAGCAAGAAGGCCTCTCAATGTGCAGGACAGCTGTGCTTCAGGAATCCTTGCCAGCTTAGCCCTGTCCTGTGCAGCCTCCTCCTCCTCCCGGACCCCCCAAGCTGCCCCCGCACAAAGGCACACCAAGAGACCCCCAAGCGGCTCCCTCCAAAGAGACACACACAAGCCACCCGACTTGGGAGTGTCGGCGTTTTACTCCACGCACAAAATGCAGCACAAGGAGGACTCCAGGGGACGGCTGTACAATCCCTCGCAAGAGAAACACAGACACATCTGAACCACGGACGACACATGCCTGGCCATGGAGCGGGGGTGGGGGAGTGGGGACCTCCAGCAGCCCCCTCCACCTGCCAGCACGAATAATATATTAAATATTTACTCTGTACTGTACACCATTTGGCATCTCATCCATGTGTTTCTAAGAAAACCTGATTTTTCCAAAGCAGCTTTGTACCCTGGCAATGGCCAGCAGGATTGGAGGACCTCCCCCCCCCCACTGAGAGCCTCCCACCCCCACCGCTGCCGCCAGCAAGGAAGACCTCTTCAGTTCTCGCACTCAGACAGCCAGGGGGACACCACTTGGGGGGGTGTCTCTTTAAGTTCCCCCCACTCTGCGCAGCTGCAGCCAGACACTTTGGAGAAAGAAGGCCATCCTGGCTGGGCCAGTGAGGCTCATGTCCCAGAAGTGGGGAACAGCCCCAACCTCTGCTGGTACAGAGCCCATCCCCGCCAGGTGGACTCCGAGCAAGATGGGGTCCCTGGCTCAGGCAGGCAGCCTCCTGGAGGGGCAAGAAAGGTTCCCACTAGGGCAGCCTCAGTTGGCAGCAGGTCTCTCCTGCTTAAGTGCTTTCCCCAACTGGGAGAAAGGGACTGAGCAGGGCCTCCTCCCAGGTGGCCTCTCCTGAACCAGTTTCCGCTGCTGCTGCCTCCTCTTCCTCCTCCTCCTCTGGCAGGTCCACCTCTCTCCGTCCTTCGCTTGCCTGCCCTTCCCTTGCACCTCTGCTGCTCCTGACTTCCAGCAGCTCCAGTGCTGCGGGCAGCTGCTCACTCTCTTCCCCCGCCACCACAGCCGCCACCTCCTCTTCCTCCTGGGGTGAGGCAGCCTCCTCCCCTCCCTCCAGTCCCTTCTGCAGTATGGTTGTGGCTGCCTGCCCGCCAGACTCTGTCTCCTCCTTCTCCTCCTGTGCTGAGGCTTCCCTGGCAAGGCTCTGTTCATCTCCCTTCTCCCTGAAGGCTCCGTTGTTGCCCGGCTGGCTCCCCTCCATGGGCCCTGCCAGCCGCTCCTTGCTGGTCTGAGAGACGAAGCTGAAGCGGGGGCAGCTCTCCACAGAGGAGGTGGGCGATGAAGGGCCTGCGCTGGAGACGGTGCTGGAGGGGCCACTGCTGTCTGCAAGGCAATCAGAACGAGGTGGTCATGGGGGGGGGATGAGGTGCTAAGAATGCCCCCCCCAAGCTCCTTGCAAACCCCTTCCTTGGCACCATCACAGCTTTGGGCACAGGGCCTGGCAACTGTCCCACCCTGAAGAATGCCAGGAGGATTCCAGGGCAGCATCTAATAGTAGCCACACAATCCGGGCGGGGTGGGGGTGCATATTGCCCCAAGCAAAGTTAGGGTGAGGGTCTCATCCTGTGCAGCCCGCAGGGAGGCTCCCCCCACAGACAGATCTGCTGCCCTGACCAACTCCAAGCGTCAGGAAGGTCTGGGCTCAGGGCCCCTGGCAACCTGGCAACCAGCCCAGTCTACCTACCTGCTGCTGCTGCCACCCCTAGCCCCCGCTCCTTCTGTTTCCCATTGGCTGGGATTCCTCCTGCTGGCACAAAGACCACCCCAAAGGCCTGCAAGGTCCCCTCGGGCAGCCTTGCCTTCTGTTCCTCTGAGTCTATTCCATCAAACTGCTCCTCCCTCCCAAGCCCCATGCCTACTTACACCAGGGGGGCTTGTCTGAGCGGGGGCGCAGAGGCAGAGAAGAGGAGAGAATCTGCTGCGGCGTCAAGTCCTCGCCTGGCCCCTGGCTCTCCATCAGGGAGTCCAAGAGCACTGCAGGACAGAGGAGGAGGACAACACTGTGAGCCCCCTGGCAAGGGCCTGCTTCTAGGCACCACCCCTTCTGCCCACCCCCACCTTGGAGTCAAAGATACCCCTTGCTCAAGCTAACCTTTGAGGGGCCTGGAGTTTTCCTGGTGACCAGGAAGGCACTTCTGTCAAAGCCCCCAGGTGTTCCCCCAGCCCAGGCCAGCCCCCACACTAAAATTCTGCTCATCTATCACATACTTCTCAGTAAACATAAATGTCTTCTTCACTCTCAAGCTCTCCTTAGCTGATTAAGGGCTTCTCTCCTATATCCTGCAGCAACTTAGCTCATGCAGCTGCAATACCAAGACACCAAATGGTCTCCGTGCTGAGATGGGGTGCCCTTTCAGTGGTGGCACCCCAGAAAACGGGTATTCTATTTCTGTGTGCAGTGAAATGTGTTGCTTCTACACAGCTGGGCAAAGCTGCTTTGGAAAACATGGGTGCTGCCCTGCGGGAAGCCCTGGGGCAGAAGGGGGCTCAGTTTGAGGGGGTGGCCCCCAGGACCCCAGCACAGCACCCAACCTGCCTGCCTGTGATGGTACCTGGGGCAGCTCCTGGGTGGGGAGTGCTGGTGCTGCAGGTCCTGGAGACGGCCGTCAGGAAGCTGTTGACCTGGCGCAGGGAGAGCGAGTTGTGCAGGGTCTCCAAGGGGTAGATGCTGGGCACCATGGAGCAGCCTTCAAAGCCTGCAGGCAGAGCAGACCCCCCACCCAGCGTCAAGGACCTCTGCAGAGGAGAAAACCCAGTGGTGGCTGGCTCCCCACCAGACGCCCAAAATAAGCCCCAACGTCCCCCTCGAGCCACAGGCATGGAGCCCCCAAAACACACCAAAGAGCAGGCCAGACCCAGCCCAGCATCTCAGAAGCAAAAGCACGCAGGGGCTGGGAGGAAAACCTGGAGCTCACCTAGCCCACCTTCCCGCTGCCTGGTTTCTGCTCCTCCCTGTCCCTGGGGAAGGGAAAGCCCTTCCTTGGCACCTGGAGCCCTGAACAGACCCCCAAAGGCTCTTCTCGACTTGCCTAGGGGGCTGTTAGAGGTGATGCAACAAACTTCAAAACCAATTTGCCCAGGGACTCTAGTGGTGCGCTGTAACTGGTCCTGGTGATGGCAGCCCCAGCCTCCCCAACCTCAGTCTCCAGTTCTGTGTTACCCCTGCTGGGTGAACTGGCATTTCTAACCCTGGAGCTATTCCAGCAGATGGGAGAGGGAGAGCATTAGGGTTAGGGATATACTGTCCAACCTCAGCTTCCTGCCTCCTGGTTCCAATGGAAGGGAAGGGTGAAGCCCCTGCCCCCGCCACTCTGTTTCTGAAATGTCCCATCAACAACAGTTTGCTCATTCTTTTCTTATAAAGCATTTCTGAAAATTTTAGAGCAGGTCACCGCTTTGTTCTCCACACAACAGACACACACACTTGGTTCCTTGCTCCCTTTCCAGTATCACCCCCCCACCCACCCACCCTGTGGACCTGTGCTTTTATGCAGCCTGCGCCCCACACAGAGCCTGCTCCAAGCTGGGCTGGGAGGAAAGCTTGGCCAGGAAGGGATAAGAAGGGCAGAGCGGTTGGGCCTGAACAGTGTTCGAAACTCCAATTGTTCTAGGCACATTTTTTTGACAGGGAATTTCATTAGCACGAGCAGTTCTGAGCTCTGGGTGCAGTACTGTGCCTAAGATTTCAGATTAAAACTGCAGAGTGGAAGCAACGGACCTTTTTCTGCCTCCCCACTTCCAGCTACTCTCTGAAGACTGGAGAAGAAACCCTCTTAAGAATATTAGGGGGGTGGGCAGGGGAAGGACTAGACCATGTGAAAAATGAACATAATATTTTAGCTGCAGTTCGTTCATTTTCAGATTTGCATTCTTGTTATTGAAAAAATGCGCCTAGTCCTAGACATTCCGTTGTTGCGCCCATAACCTAGGTTTAAGGTGCCATTTAGCTCCTAGCTTTCATTTTTCAGTTTCTAACACTGAGCCTCGGCAGAGGCCGCTGCACTCCCAGAGGAGTTGGGGGTCCAGAGCCCCCCGTCCCTTGTCAGTCAGCCAGCCCCACCATGCACTGAGCTCTGGAGTCAAGGCCCTCATGGCTTAGGGCTATACAGTCTGCAAATAGCTGCTCAGGAGCTGCCTCCCACCTGCAGGCTGTTTAGGTCCCCAATCCAGGAGGTGGCTTTTGCTGCTGCAGCACCTGAGCAGAGGATGCTGCAGAATGCTCAGCAATACTCCAGTGGGTCTGCATGGAAGGGAAAGGGCTGCATCAGGCAAGGAAGCCTGGACTCCAGTGCCTCACGTCGGTCAAACCAGTGGAACATCCGCTAACCAATTCTGGCATCACAAACCAACATTCGACCGTCTTAAGGGGAGCTGAGCCAATTTTCTGAAGCTGCAAAATCTGCATTTATGACCCAAGAAACTCTTAGGAAGCCACTGTGCAAATTATACACAAACCTGAAACTGTTCCTCTCTTGGATGCTGAGCACCACTCGGGGGGGGGGGGGCGCTTTGCACCAGTCCAAAAGAGCTGCTGGCTTTTAAACTGCAGGGACTTGTGCTGCAAATAAGGCAGGGTTGTGAAAGGAGCCTGCAAGTGAGCCTCCTCTCCCCGGGAAGGGAACGGCGCCAGTGGAAGAGAAGCTCCCGCCCAGAAGACGCAGGCCAAAGGGAGGGGAGGCCTGGTCCTCTTTCCTGCTGAGCTGCCCTGATAGTGGAACAAAAACCAGCCTGGCCATCACGCAGGGACAGACAGAAGGAATAAGGCTATTCCTGGGCAGTGTTGGTCTGCAATGACCCAAGCAGTAGACTCCTCTGGAAAACAAGCCAGGCATCTTGCAGGCAGCTGCCAACCTCCCCCACCTGGGCAGCTTTGCCCTAAAATCAAGCTTTGGCCTCCTGGGAAGAAAGCCCAGCCCAGTCCTCAGAGCCATGCAGGGAGTGGCTGGGCCTGTGTGCCAGGGTGGGAAAGAGAAAGGGAGGGTCCCTATGGGCCTGCCCAAGAGCCCCCCCATCCTTCAAGTCCCACACTGCTCCCCCTTGGCAGGTTGTGGGGCAGGGAAGCTGCTTTGCCCATGCAACACAATTCCCACACCCACACATGCACACTCTGCAAGGGTTTTGGCACCAGGTGCAGAACAGCCTGGGCTGGCTGGGGAGACAACGCCCAGGACCTGGGGGGGCCCCAGAAGCCAAACCAAACCACATGCAAAGAAGCGGCGGCAGCAGCGGCGGCAGCAGCAGGGGCAGCCCTTCCTCAGTCGCCCGGCTTCCATGGGGGTGGGCAAGGGGCAAGCGAGACCCACCAGGGCTCGCAGCCTTTCTAGGTAGCCAGGAATTTAGCTGTTTTTTTAATGTTGTGTTTTAACATTGCTGTAGCCCGGTGAAGAGGAGCAGAGAAAGAATCGGCAGGACAAGAGAAGAGGTTTCCTGGCTGGCCTCCTCCAGGCAAAGGGCAGCTGGGCAGGGGAGGGAGGGAAGCAGCCCCTGAAGAGGCAGAGCCACAGGGACCCCCTGGGCGGGGAGGGCCCAGCCAAGGAGGCCCCCAAGGCACCATGCAGTGCCATGCCATACCGTCGAGGCTCTCCAGGTTCCCCCGGCCAGAGACCAGCCAGTCCCGGAAGAGGCGGAAGTGGTAGGAGCACTGGCGGAGGTGATGTGCCAGGGCGGCATCCAGGAGGGAGGCGGGCTGGCTGGCGGCAAAGTCAGAGGAAAAGTGGCGCAGCAGCAGCCGCCCGCAGGGGCCTTCCAGCTCATCTGGGGGGAGGGGCCACAAAGGGTGAGTGGGGGAGGGGCACAGCAGAGCCAAAGCCAAGGCAACAGAGAGGGGAAGGGAAAGGGGGGGGAGCCCAGCCTGGACCATGGAAGAGCATGGGGAGGGAGGACAGCCGCCAGCACCACCCGCCATGGAGCAAACTCTGTTCCCACTTCAGAGACAACACAGGCAAACACTTTCTGGGCACCTGAAGGCCCTTTGAGACTTTTGGCAGAAGCATTGTCTGGTCGGCACCAATTCAGTTTCCATAAAATCATCAGAAGAACCCAAAGGACCCGGTATCCTCTTCCCACAGTGGCCAACCAGATGTCCCTAAGGGAAGCCCCCATTTGGAAGAAACCCTCCCCCAGGCAGAAACAGCCAGTCAGGAGGAGAAGTTGTCCTTGCTGTTCAGCATGCAAGGAAGGGGCATGTAAGCCTACAGCCTTTGAGTCTCTTGCTCCTCGCCCCCCCCCCCCCCGCGGCTCTGGGCTGCCCCTCCTCCTCAGAGTCCCTCCACCGCTCATTCTCAAACCTCACATGGGATGCAAAGGACTCCACTGAGCAAAATGTGGGGGTGACCCTCCACTGGCAGCCAGCCACAGGGGAGGCAGGGATATTCCTCAGCTCTGCTGAGGAGAGAAATGCACTCAAGCACCATAGACTGGTTTTTAAAACCTTGCTTTTAACTCCTAGAAACCAAAAAGCCCAATTTAAATGAATAAAATGAAATGAATAAATTTAAATGAATAAATTGTAGAACTACAGAAGCACCAAATATGAGGCTTGGAGTTTACAACCAGCCCTGTCTTCCAACCGGTCCCTCCAGTGATTTAAGCAAGACTTTTTGCTAGCTGGCAAATAACAGAAGAGGGAAGCAAAGAAGAAAGTGACAATAAGCACAAAGGAAAGGGAGATGATTGAGGCTTAGAAGGAGTTTGCAGCCCTCTACTTTAGCAAGCAGAAACAGAAGGAACCTGTCTTTTCCAGAAGCGAAAAGACTTGGAAGTCTCTCTAATGCAATTAGCATGTTTTACAGTGGTGCCTCGCAAGACAAAATAAATTCGTTCTGCGAGTTTTGTCATCTTGCGATTTTTTTCGTCTTGCGAAGCACGGTGTCGGGAAAGTTTTGGAAAAGCTTCAAAAATCACCAAAGTCTTTAAAAACCTCAAAAAAGGCTACCACACCGCGTTCTATGAGTTGCTCCTCGAAGTCAAGTCGCAACTGTATTAACGGTGTTAAGAAAAAGGAAACAAACTTGCAAGACGTTTCCATCTTGCGAAGCAAGCCCATAGGGAAAATCGTCTTGTGAAGCAGCTCAAAAAACCCTTTCGTCTAGCGAGTTTTTTGTCTTGTGAGGCATTCGTCTTGCGAGGTACCACTGTACTCTGAAAGAAAACCTTCCCCAAGGGGCTGTGAGCAGCTTCCCCCACCCCAATTTCCACCCACCAGACACCTCCAAGCCTGCCCAGGGCCAGCCAAGACCTCCTGCAGTCGGGCAAGAGTCAGACACCCCGGCAGAGGCAAAGACCCCCATGAAAAGAGAGAGGCACCGCCCCTCCTCTGAACTCACACTGCCCAGCAAGACCTGTTGCCTGGGGTGGGAGAACTGGAGGGCAGGCAGGCAGGCAGGCAGGCAAGCAAGCAGGCAAGCAGCCTAAAGAGCGGGGGGTACTGGGCAAGGCTCTCTCCCCACTCTGGGTCACAGCGAGGGGGGAGCAGCTGGTACCCCATAGGCTCTCTCCCATCAGGTCACTCCAGCCGGGGGCGGGGCAGGTAATTCATCTTGCCCTCCCTGCTGCTGCTGTTTATGTGTTGAGGGGTCCCTCTGCTCCCACCCCATCCCCGTGAGAACACAGAAGGGAGAGCCAAGAGGGTGGTTAGTGGCGGGGGGGGGGGCAGCACAGCACGACACAGCTTCCCACTCATGCACGCAGGGATGGAAGACATAGGAAGGGTGGAGGGGGCAGGAGGAGCAGGGAGGGGCGTCAAATTAAGAAGCAAACGTACCGTTAGTTGGATGCTTTGCAAATGACACAGAAAACCGCTTTACAGCTGGCATAGACAAGAGCTCTGAGGAAACAAGATGAGAGCATCGCGTCAGTTAGGCGCACATCTGCTTGTGGCGCCCCCTGCTGGAAGCACAGGCCCACCACAGGAAGGGGCCTCACCCCACACTAGACTGCCCTCCCCCAGGAGGTTGCTGGGAGGAGCAACATGCACAAGGGACGGTTTGACACACACACACACAGAGGGGCAATGGGCACCACAGGACAGCGGCACAACAGGAGACCGAAGACAAGCACTCCCCAGATGGGTCCCATGGGAGAGAAGGGCAGAGGAGGAGGGCAGTAGCCCCTGCTTCTTCAACCTCCCTGTCCAGAGCCACAATGAAGGGTGCAGGAATACTCTACAACACTCTACTGGCCAAGGACCAGCATCAGCCCAGCTCCTTCACCTGCCAATATTGCTGAGCTGGGTCAGACAGTGTTACTGACACCCCTAAGCTTCTGGTTGGGAAAGAAGAGAAAGCACCCACCACACAACCCTGTGGGAAATCACCCCAGCATGGGGCTAGGAGCAGCCCCCAAGAGGCCAACCTTAATAGCCCACAAAAACAGGCTTCCCCTTCCTCTGCCATGCCAACCCAGGCCTCAGCAAGCGCTGTAGAATCTCTCTCTCTCTCTTTCAACAACCAAGCAAATGCAAGAAGCGAAAAAGACCTTGGGAGGACCAGAAGGTGCCAGAAGAGGCTCAGAAAGTTCTTGAGCAGCTCCCCAACTATTTGAGAGCCATGCTCCAAGCCCAGTTTGCAAGACAGGCTAGTCACAACAGGGCTGGAGCCGAGAAGGGGCAGCAAGGGGCAGAAAGCAAGCCCCTCTCAAACAGGGAAGGTGTTATTTGGTGTGAAAACCCTGCCAGGACTTTATAACAACCTTGTGTATGCTTGAAGGCTGAAGGCAGCTGCCAGAGGAATAAACCCAAGAGAGACCCAGTAAATGCCACTGAGGAGGAGGAGAATCATCCCTGCAGGCTGTTTGGCAGAGACTTGCAGAGCTGCAACCCCATCTCCTGTTCTGCTTCACCTGAAAAGCCAACCCAGCTGCTCGCCCTGCCCCACATTGCCGCCCATAACAACTCCTGGCACCTGCGGCTTCTCTTCAATGCTAGGCAACTCCCATCCTGCTCTGGGATGGGGAAGGAGCACTTCACTAGTGAGACTAATCCCTGAGAGCTTCAAACCTGCTCTCCATCCCCCTGCTAATGGATGCCATGACTGAGCCTGCTTCTCCGTCCTTAGGAGGACCTGTGGTGTTGGTGAGACCAGGCAGCTCCAGGCAAGAGGCCCTCAGGATGTGGAGACACCTTCTCCCAGCCCTGCTCTCCCAGGACCCATGAGGGCAAGGGGGTCCTCGGAGTGCTCAGCCCCCAAGCTTCCCTGGAACCTCCCCGCCAAGCGCCCAGCCCCAAGCCTCAGGATGTCTCTGCAGAGGGTACACCTACCATCTTTGTATAGAAAGCTGGAGGCGAACTTCTTCCCGTGGCTGCGGGCATAATCCTGGAGGTTGGGGGCACTGGAGGAGCCCCCCAGGACCGTGGTGCTGAAGAGACCCGTGCACTGCGACCCTGAAAAGGTCCAGCAGGCTGTTAGTATCACACGTTTGCACACAAACACACCCACATGCAGCTCAGGCAACCCAGCTTAGTGGGGCAGAAAGCAGCAGAGCAGCCCTTGCAGGAAGAGGCCCAAGAAGGCGCCGCAGCCCCCAATTGCCACCGTCCTCCACTCCAAGTGGCAAAGGAAGAAGGAGGGGGGTCTGCAGTTCCTAAATCTGCTCTGGAAGGGCAACACAAAACAGAGGAGCAGCGGCAGACCTCTGTGGCCCAGGGCACAGCCAGCCTGCTCCAGCTTCTCAAAGCCTCACCATCTTTTCACATGCCGTGGCCAGAAGCGGTGGTCAGTGGTCCAGCCCACAAGCCCAGGACCAGACCAAAACACTCCCAAGCCCGAGGGACAGAGGAAGAGGCTGACCACCCAGGCAGAGAGCCCTGTGGATCAGAGCAAGGGCAGGTGCAAGAGGGAGCATCACAACACAGGTTTGGGTGTGGAGTGGGGTGGGTGGGCTTTTACTGGCTCAGGCAAGCACCGTGATTGGACCACACGCCATGTTCCCCCGCCAGCAAGGCCAGGTAGAGCAGGCTGGAGCCAAGTGCAGAGTGTCCCCCACCCCCAATTTAGACTCCAGGCCAAGAGTGCAGGTGATTTAGCAAGCAGCCTGTTACGTAAGGGGAATAATGGTCTCGAGGTGCAGGTAAGCAGGCCTGGGTCAGTGCCCGGATTCAAACAGATAGCACAAAACACACACACACTGCACCCTCCAATTTTGCCCTTGAAGAAGCTCCTTCCTCCCACCTCTGTCTTTGGCTCTGGGGAGATGGGAAGGGGTCCCCTGGCTAGTGACCTTCTTTTGGGAAGGAAGGGCCTGTGAGGAAGCCCCCGAATCTGCCCCCGCCTCAGAAAAAGGGCTCTAAATCAGAACCTGCCTTTTTTTCTTGAGTGATTGCACACACACGAGGCATTTGGAAGACAACTCGTGTCTTGGGGGTAGGGTTCTCCACCGCCAGGGCTTTTTCAATGAGACAGGGGCTATTATTGTTCTTCCGTTAAGATGTAATATTCATTCATTACATGAATATAGCTCCTTTCATTTTGCGGGGAGGGGGTCATTCCTATGTGCCAGCGAAACAGCCCGCCAAAGCTGGAGGGCACAGGGTGGCCACTGCCATTGCTTCTTCACCCGAGAAGGGCTAGTAAAAATCCATTTATGTGTTTCTGCCCCCCCCATCCCAAAGGTTTTTTTTAAAAAAGAAAAACCACATTTAGCCCTCAGGCCAAGACTCCCTGTCCCTCCTGCTAACTGTCAGAAACTGCCTGCCTACCCACCTGAGACATTCCTTGCCTGGACTCTCAAAATGTCTGTGAGATCCCAGAGCAGCACCACAGAAGAAAAGGCCAGCTAGAGAAGGGAAGGGAAGGGAGTGCAGGGCCTCAGGCAGGCAGCCCAGGCTCAGGGGGAGGGGGGCACTTTACAGAGACAGCCTCAGATCCTATCTGGTTGGGAGAAAAAAACATACAAAATTCTAGGCAGGAAGTCCCGCCCACTGACCCACCAGGATTGTCAACACAGAGAGAGAGAGAACAGAGAAGTTCCTACCTAACCCGCTCTGCTTCACTTCTGAGGAATGCCGTGAGTAGGAGAAGAGGCGATAGCCACCCGCCTTGGAGGAAGATTCAGACAGCACCTGTGGAAAACAAGCACTCAGGTGGCTCCGGAGGCCTCTGGCACCTTGGCCGGGGGCAGCAGCAGCAGCAGCAGCAAGGGACAAACTGGGAGACAGAAAGTGGTTGTGGGGCAGAGGAGGAAGCAGCTCTTGGAGGAGGGAAAAACAACTCCCCTCCTTCTGGCCCACGACATCTGGGGATCCTCCCTCTAGAAGATGTAGGCAAACCCGCCATCCAGTCATCTTAAGAGCTTTGGTTATAGCACAAATGTTTTGGTAGAAGTAAAGAACAATACATTCTCTTGTCTTCATTTTCTTCAGGTGGATTTTTCATTGTCCTGGCAGGCATCTCTCCCCCACTCTCTCTCTCTCTCTCTCTCTCTCTCTCTCTCTCTCTCTCTCACACACACACACACACACACACACACAGCGCCTGTCTAGCCCCTCTACTCTACCTCCATGGAGCCGGTCTTCCGGTTGCGGATGAGAGGGGATCTCCGCTGGACGTAGATGGGTTCCAGGGGCGGAGAGGAGAGGTGCTGGGCTTGGTCCATCTCCACAATGGCCTTGGGCTTGGCCAGCTCCTCCAGGCTCCCCTCCTCCGGCTTCTTGGCTTCCTTCTGCAGGAAAGCAGCACAAGGGGGTGGGTGTGTAAGGGGCATTGCCTTGGGCTGAGAACTGGAAGTGAGGGGAAACTTTAGGCAGCGGAAAGGAGGCTGGAGGCGGTGATGCAGAGGTGGGAACCTCAGACCTGGGGTAGAATGCAGTGGCCCTCTGGGCCCCTTTCTCTGGCCCCTGGCATGCTCCCCAAGCCACATCCCAGACTGGCCCTGTGTTGCACAAGGGTTTCTGCCTCTCGCATGCCTGTATCCAGAACAGGCTCTGTGTGTGAAGGTGTACAGAAATGGGCCTACTGAACAAAGGGGAAATTTGCATCCTCCGCTTAGGTTTTGGTCCCGCCCACTAATGCCATGTGGGTCCAGGAGGGAAGGGAACCCTTGGGCTGGGAAAGTCTCCCCCCTGCCCCACACTGTGAGGAAAGAGGCTAGCCAGGGAGGACGGAGACTTTCTTTCTAGTAATACTACCATTGTGATAATGCAGAAATCAAACAAGGCACCTTCAGTCACTCGGATGTGCCTCCATCATTAACCTGAGGTAAAATGGGTAGCATAATCTCTTTCCTCAGGGCAGAGCAAGACACACAGCCCAGAGAGGCAGCGTCCACCCTCTCTCTCCCTCCTCTGGTAGTCGGAAGGGATCTCTCAGCACCTGCGCCAGATCAGGTGAGAGCTGACCTTCATCCCACCTTCTCAGCAGACGGCCATTCCAGCACCGTCTGGGAGCAACAGGGTCAGACCAGCTGCCTTACAAGTGGCTTTGTTCCCAGCAGCCTCAGAGGCCATGGACTCACCTCTGCAGAAGCCGGGCGGAAACCAGAGCCTGCTGGGGCGCTGCCGTCCTCCTCACAGCCCTTCACCCCTGGGCTGAAGTGCAGCTCCACGTGGAACCTCTCCTCAGAGGAAGGGTCCTGCCAAGAGAGCAGTGAGGCTCTGCTGGAGAAGAAGTCACAGTGGCTTGGCCACTCGGCCTCCCACCACCACCCCACCACCAGCTTCCTCCACCTCCTCTGCTCCCTCACCTTGTTGTTGTCCTCATAGAGCATGATGACAATCTGCGTCATGTAGTTCAGCTCCGAGATGGCGCTAAGGTAGTCCATGGCCCTCTGCCATTGAGGGTCTTTCGATTCCTGAAAGGCAAGAGGAGGACCGGGGCAGGCAGGATTAAAGGGCCTGTAAGGGGTGGGCTCAGCCTTGAAGGGACCTGGAAGGGGTCTAGCGCTCCTCCCCGCAGTGAATTTCGCATAAACCCTCCTGAAGGGGTTCAGCACAAGGCAGACTTCGCAGCCCACAGCTTTTCTTCCTAGCACTGGCCAAAAAACCCACTGTGCTGTAGACCCTTTCATATGAACCAGCTCCAACCAATTCTCACAACATGCCAAGATCCAGCTAGACCCCAGAAGCAAGTGGCTTGACTCACCAACACACACACACACACACACACACACACTCCCTGGAGTAGCCTCTTCCTCCCATAGCTGCCTCCCCGAGCTGCCCAAAGACACCCTTGCCCTGATGGCAGAAGGTGCTCTCTTCCCTTGGTAGCTGGCCTTGGCCTTCCCATTATAAAGTCTTAATGGAGGCTGGCTGGTTAAGTATTTCTATGTAAACTGCTTTGTGGGTTCACCTGAAAAGCACATCTATAAATGATATTCAGTGACTATTGGGTCAAACCAGGGAGGTGAAGCCTACTGAGCAAGTCTTCCAAGGATGGCTCAGAGGAACAGGCTGCAGGCAGCATCTTCCTGTGCCCCCCCCCCTCACCCCAGTGTTTGGAGGACAGTTCAGGCCCACCCTCCAGACTCTTGAATGAAATTCAAGGCTGACTCTGGAGCCACCAGCAGAGGGCGCTGCCAGAGTTATCAGGAGACAAAGGGTTCCCCCTTCAGCAGAGGGCACTGGAGAGCCCTGGGTCAGCCCCTCTCCATGGCCAAAACACACACACAACACCATGGCTGGCTCACGTACATCCAGGAGGCCCCCATAGCGGAAGATGCTGAGCAGGGAGTGGACGTGGCTCTCGCTGGTGAAGTACAAGCGTGTCCGGACATGGCGCCCCGGAGACAGGACTCCTCTCGAGTACCTGGAAGCAGAGCAGTCAAAGCAGTGAGGGGACCAAAAGCTCACCAACAATTCTGGGAGTTCTGTCACCAAGAGGGCTTGGAGGCCAACGCAGATTCACAAGGAGGAAAAGACAGACGTCTTTTGGAAAGAAGGCAATCACTGTCCCCATTACTCTGCAATTTGGTCTTGGAAGTTTTGTTTAGAGACACTAGACAAGACGAAAGAATTTGGGGAGCAAAGATTTAAAAAGAAACTTGTAAGTTACAGGCATTTGCCGATGATTTGATGATAGTTTTGGAAAATGCACTACAGGGAGCAGAGACTTTTCGGGATAAATTAAATGAGTTTGGTACACTAGCATGCTTTAAGGCTAATCACCAGAAAATGAAAATGCTAATGAAGAATATGACAACTGAAGACCCAAAGATTTTGATGGAGAAAACGGGGTTTCAAATTAATAAAAAAGTAAAGTATTTGGGTATTACCATGACAAATGCAAATTGTATGTCATTTCAAAATAATTATGTTAAGATGGGAGAAACTAAAATTGTCAATGTTAGGCAGGATTTCTGTGATAAAGATGAATATCTTGTTTAGAATGAGATTTTTTGTTTCAAACAATATCTATTTTGACCACTGATATACCATTTAAACAATAACAAAAATATTTATCTACATTTGTATGGCAGAGGAAAACATGAGTTAAATCTGAAGTTCTGCAAGATGCAAAGGGGGAAAGAGGATAGAGCTTGCCTGACTTGAAATTGTATTTTGTAGCTTGTTGCTTAGGATGGATGAAGGAATGGATGACATTGAGAAACCTTTGGAAGTAGAAGGACACGGCAAGGTTTGGATGGCATGGATATCTGTGGTACGATACAGTTAAATGTGTTATGCACAAACACCCACCCACCCCCAAATGGATTTCACCACAAGAAGCTATCTACAGAAAAGAGTTGACAGGCGAAGAGAAATGGTTAACCAATTAAGAGTTATTAGAATTGCATCAAGGAGATGATAAAATTAAAACAAGGGAACCACTGAAATAAGTGGGAACCATTTATAAACTATATAAAAAGACAGTATAAAGATTTGGGCTCATTGGAAGGTTTTGACTAAACTTTCACAACTATATAAGAGGTAAAACCAGCAGGGTATAGAAATTGTTTAATAAATCAATACAGAAATACAGGGCAAGCCAAAAAGTGGGGAGGGGAGAAATATGGATATATAAATTGTTTAATCAAGATTTGTGGAAAATTTGTTGATATAATTTGAAAAGTCAATAAAAAATATTTTTAAAAAATTAAAACAAGGGAACAATTGATAACGGAAGGTCACAACTTTCAGTGGCTCTTCTATTTATAACTAGTAAGGAGATTTAAGTTGTATAAAAATACAAGGGGTGGTCCTTACAGGGGGTGCAGCTTGTTGACAGACTCATCCTCGTGGGTCCTCTGCAGGTCCAGCTGGATCTTCCGGATGAGAGGCAGGCAGAAGCCCACAGCTATCTCCAACTTCTCTTGTTTCTTAATGCCATATTCCTGGGGAAGCAGGAAGGGACTCAGCCCAGGGCAAGCCACAAGCCCCATGCCACCACCACACCCTCCCTCACAGGGCCAGGCCTCACCTGGGGGATGACAACATCCGCCAGGGACTTGGAGAGCCGGAACAGCTCGGAGGTGCCCTCCAGCTTCAGAGCTGCATTGTGCTGCACGTCGTACTTGACGCAGTCATAGATGTCGGGGATCTTGCTGATGTCATAGCGCCGGTTCTTCAGGCGGAAATCCTGCTCCAGTTTCCTCCAGCGCTGAAGCATCAGCTCGAGTGTCTCACTATGGTACAGCTGCAGGTCTGAGGAATCAGCAGCAGCATCAGTCATCCCACCCACAGAGCAGGGGGGAAGGTTAGGACACTCACACAAGGACCGATGAAGGACTAAGGTGCTCACACACACAAACACACAACACAAACTGCCAAGCTATCCGCCTGCCCTACACACAGTTTTGATTTTTGAAGTTATATTTTACAGTTGTACCTCAGAAGTCGAACGGAATCCATTCGACTTCCAAAATGTTCAGAAACCAAGGTGCGGCTTCCGATTGGCTGCAGGAGCTTCCTGCAGCCATCAGAAGCCGTGGAACCTGTGTTAGATGTTTGGGTTCCAAAGAACATTCGCAAACTGGAACACTCAATTCCGGGTTTGCACCATTCAGAAGCCAAAATGTTTTGACTCGCAAGGCATTCAACTTCCAGGGTACGGCTGTATTTCTAAGATTCTGAGTCTGTGCTGGACAACACAAGAAAATGTATGGACCTTTTGGATGTATATTTGATGTTTTAAATCTGTTATGAAGCAAGTTCTGCAAGTAAAAGTTTGAATGATATTTCTATGGGCCTGGACAACGATTTCTTCCAAAAGGAGTCAGTTATTATGCTTCCAGTTGCTTCAAATGACACAATGTTATTACAGCGCAATGCACACTCCCTACCCGCAGACTTGGGGTCCTCCAGGCACTTTTGTATCTGGGACGTGAGGCTCTCAATCAGGGCAAAGACCCGGTCACAGATCTCCACAGGGTTCTGGATGATGCTCATGGACTTGACGAGTGAGATGCTGCCCGTGGGCGCCAGCTGAAGGCAGGATCAGAGCAAAAGGGGAGCTGAAGCATGTCCCTTTTTTCTTAGAAACCTGCTTCAAGACTGCTAGGCCAATATTCAGAGAGGGTTTGTTTGTTTTTTAAGATCAGTGGAGGTGCAATTCCCTGCCTTACCACATGCTGTCCCCCTGCCCTTAAAAATAACCCACCAACAATGCAAAGTTATTTTCCCCCAACCCTGCCCTGGATCAACACCAGATTTAGGGTGGTGCAGGTGGTTCCCTCCCCACCCCCGCCCCCCGTGCATGATAATCATAATCTGTATTTATACAGATACCTACTGAGAAGATCCATTAAAAAAGCAACTGTACCAAAAAATAATGAATATGAAATATTGGGGGGGGGATTTTGTTCTCCCTCAGGGTGCCATATTACCAACATTCGCTCCTCCCGGATCCTGCAGCCTTGATGCCCATTTTCCCACAGCTTTCTGGAGGGGAAGACAGGCTCCCCCCGCATCATCAGGACCAGAAGTTTGTTTTAATAAGGATGAGCAGGAAGTTCACCTGCTGGAAGGCCCTTCTTCTCACCTGCCTACCCATCGTGCCAAGGGACACTGGCCAAATCATAGATGCAGAAGTCCCACCCCTTGAACAGCAGGGAGCGGCTGATAGGATGTACCTCCTCACTCCCAGCCTCACTGTCAGCACCAGGTCCTATGAAAGCTGAAGTTCTTTCCTTTGATGCAAGAGCCAAAGCCTTGAGCTGGCCTGGCCCAGGGAGCTGCCCTCCCCTTTACCAGTGGCTCCTGCCAGCCAACCAGCCAGCCAGCCTAGCTGCCTGCCCTCCTCACCTTCTCAAAGTCCTCCTCCCCAAAGTTGGCGTCCTTCTGCATGATCTCCCTGAGGCGAGCTTTCACCCGGTGCTGACAGCTGCTGAGGGAGTCACTGTCGCTGTCCAGCAGGCCATTCATGTTGGCACTCTTCACCATCTGGACCAAGATGGGTGTCAGCTCCCCCTCCAGTGCAAGGAGGCCCTGCAGAGCGAAATGGGATGGGGCACAGGCATTAGCACCTGGTGGTGGTGGTGGTGGTAAGGGAACGGCACAGATCATCGCTTGGTCCTTTGGAACGAAAGCCATCTTGGCCTGGCCGCAGGCAAGAGCAGCAGTCATCCCCAGGTGGCCTTGGCTCAACTGCCACTGCACCCACAGCAGCACTGCAAGAGGAGACAGCCAGGTCAAGAGGTACCCCCACCCCACCCCCAGTCAGTCACTGGGAAGACAGAGATTGCAAGGACCTTTGCAAAGGCAGCTGCAGTCATCTGGACTCTGCCCTCATCGGAGGCATAAATCTTGAGGTCGTGGCGGTAAGTGCTGTGCAGGCGAAGGAGGCCGCATCCTGGGAAGCCAGCGTAGTCCCCTGGAAGGTGGGAGGAGAGCCTCAAGGTCAAAGGGTAGTGGCTGAGGCATGGAGACCTCCAGGCCAAACCCGGCTCCCCCTCCCATCACACTACCGTGCCCCCCACGCCTGGCCTCACCTTGGCCCCCCGGGTACATGCAGCGGAAGGCTCTCCCCAGCTCCTCAGCTTGCACTCTCCCGGCGGGAGTCAGCTCGCCTCCCCACTTCAGCACCAGCAGCAGAGACGGGGAGGCTTCCTTGCGGGCCTCTGGAGGCAGCAGAGAGTCAAGAGTCAGACCCTGTATCCCCAGGAGGGAGGTCAGCAGCCGCTATGGCCTCCCCACCACCACAGTCAGGAAGGAGGGACCAAAGTGGGTGTCAGTCTTGCTTGCTGTGAAATGGGCTGGGGGAGGCCACAGGAGCCATGCCCAAAGCCCCACCCACGGCTTCTGGCCAAGGATTCTCTGTTGACAGAACACTCAAAATCCTAAAGAGATGTTGGAGGAGTTCTGCGTTCAGAGCTCCCGAGTCTGGAAGGTGTGGCAATGACTTCCACTGAAGGGGGCTGCAGTCCCCTGGAAGGAACAGGCTCCTAGCTTGGGGGTGCTCCCAGATCACGGTTACTGGAGGTTCAGGTGACCTTGGTGGCCAGGAATGCTTATTTCCACCTCTGGCTGTCTTGCCAGCTACAGCCCCTCTGGGACAGGTGACTTGGCCATGATTATCCATGCTCTGGTAACCTCCTGACTGGACTACTGCAATAGACTCTATGTGGGGTTGTCCCTGAAGACGATTAAACTGATCCAAAATGCAGCAGCCAAAGTACTGGCTGGGGTTTGGTTAGACCTCATATAATCCCTACGTTAAAACAGCTGCGTTGGCTGTTAGTTCATTTCCATTCAAGGGGCTTCTGTAAGTCCCAAATGTCTGAAAGACAGCCTCCATGCCTACAGGTCCTCTCAGGTGCTAAGATTGGCAGTTCCACCTCCCTCCAAGTTTTGGAGAAGGAGGAGCACCTGGTGCCTTCGTACACAGCTTTTGCCATCTACACCTCTTTGCCCCTGACAATGAAGGTCTTGCGGAATCAGTGCATTCCATTTGGAACGCTTGGACTTGCTGGGACTCTCCCTATAATTATATCTGCTTTCATCCATGTTTATATTACATTATTGGAACCCAACAATGGGACATTGCAGCAAAAGGCAAGGAAGAAATCCTCTAAGTAAAATTAACGAGTGCAAATACGTGCGATGGACTTGTCGCCCTGTGCAGCTTATGCTCTTAACTGCCACAACACTCCAGCAAGTCAAGGAAACGAAAGCCCCTCCTGCTCAGCTACGCTGCCACAGAGAAGCGGGGCAGGGCCAGGAGATGGAAGGCCCAGCTCAACCAAGGTGGCATCAGGGGCAGCCATAGGTAGGGTGCAAACTCCCACCTGCCCCCCACTCCTGCCAGCCCCCCACTTCTGCCAGCCTGAGGCACCCAGCCCCGCAGGAGCCAGATACCTGCCTTCCTCTTCGCTGGATGCTTTGGAGCGCCCGTGGGGCAGGTAGGTCAGCTGCACTTTGCGGTTGATGCCAGAGAAGTGCCCGTACCTGCCGGGAGGAGAGAGAAGAAGCAGGGGCTTGGAAGGGCTTCCCTTGATAACTCCAGCTAAGCCAGGCCCCTTCCTCCCTCCTTCGCCACTCAGGCCACCCACTGCTGCATGCCAAGAAGGAGATCCTGGGAGAAGGTGCCAGACGGGTTCACAAGGGGCTGGGACTTCTAAGGGCACAGCCACAGGTGGCATGAACTGCTGGGTGCCAAGTAGAGGAAACCACCCCAGTAGAGAGTGGGGAGGGCAGGGGATGCCGCTGGACCTTACCCTCCCGGAGCTCTTGTTCAAAACCAGGAACTGGGGGCCCATCAAGCCACCTGCTCCCACCCCCCCACCCACCCACCCCTCTTCTCACATCTCCAGCACAGTTTTGAGCTGCTCCAGCTTGGATTTCTGCTCCTCGGCCTCAGAGTCCTCATGAGCTCCCTCCTCCAGCACCAGCAGGCGGGCGATGTCCAGCACTTCCTGCCCAGGGCAAAGGGTTGGCTGGGTTGGCAGGGCAGCCGAGCATATCCTCTGGGCCCAGAGGGCCATGTGCTCCCCACACCTGGCCCTCGGCCCCACCACCTCCCTACCCCCCGCAGACCCACATGCCAGCCCCCAATAGCCAGGCCATTGTGTTGAGGTCCCCCCTGCACAGCAAAGCCCAAGCCAGGAAGGCAAAGGCAGAGGTGCCCCAGGGTCCCTGGCCCCACCAGCCGCCAGTCCTCCTCACCTGAAGCTGCTCTGGCTTCTTCAGCTTCAGCTTCCCAGCCTTGTAGCCCTCGTACTTCTCAAACAACGCAAAGAACCTGGCAGCAAAGTTAGAGGGGGTCCAGGGTCTGAGAAGGAAAGGGCTGGGAAATGCAGAGCTGGACAAGGTCCAGAATGAGGTGGCCCCTTATGCTGCTGCTCAGGGGAGATGAAGCGTTTAAGGGAAACCAGCTAAAGACTAGGGTTGGGCAATATATCGATGTATCATCCAGAACCAGTCTGAAGCCCATATTGTGATATTGGTTGCATAGTTTTTGACCTAGCAATATATTACAAATGATGATGTGTGTGTTTGCATGCTATGCAAAAATCAAAATGTGGGGGAAACCGTGAAGCCAACCAATTTCTCTATGTCGCTCCATCCTTAGTTCAGACACTGTGATATATCAGTATATCGCAGTGTTTAGCTGGTGATATATCATAGATGTTGAAAACCAGATATCGCCCAGCCCTACTAAAGACCCTCTCAGAGAAGAGGCTGCACAAACAGACACCCACCCAGAGTGTAGCCCCAGGGGGGGCTCTTCTTACCTGGGGTGCTTCACTTCCATCTTCATCTTCTGCTTGGGAGTCCGGTCACCATGCCTTATAACCGCAATCACACAGCGCAGCTCCATCCTGTGGCAAAAGATACCAATCTCAGGCTGCCCCGCTCTCTAAATAGCCACACTTAGCAGAGGCAAACTCCTTCCCCAAGCAAGGAAAGCTTTGCAAAGGTGGAGAATATGTTGAAGGCTGTGCAAGAAGATGGCGAGCTTTGAAAAGCCCTGCAGTTGTAAACCAGAGGTGACAAAAGGGCGGTGGATAAGCCCACTCCACGTAGTCCCACCCAAGGATGGCCTCCGTCCTCTTCTCCCTCCTCTCCAGTCAAGGCCAGAGCTCTGAGAGCCAGTCCACCATCCTCTAAGGCAGTCTTTCTCAAATTGTGAGTCCCCAGATGTTATTGAACTACAACTCCCATCACCCCCAGCTAGCAAGGCCAGAGCTCAGGGATTTTGGGAGTTGTAGTCCAAGATGTGGCAAGTAAGAACGCTTGCCAAGAGTAAAATCTAAAAATGCCCCAGAAGCCACAACAGAAATGCCCAGCCCAACGACACTCACATTGTCCCCGAGGTGGTGGGCACGATGGGGATGTCCTCTGCCTCTGTGGGGATGGACCAGGGGATCTGGAACTGGGGAGCCAGTTCACGCATGATAATGTTCCTGTCAGGGAGAGAGGGAGGAGCCAGACCTGGTCAGAGATCCACTTCGGACCTTCCCATCCTGGTAGCTGCCTCAGGCAGGTCCCCCACCCAGGGCATACCATCTTCCCACGTGGGAGGAACACACCACCCAAGGAAAACCAGGAACGACAAAGTGCAACCCACCCCAGGATCTTGGCGCAGTCATCGTAATATTTCATTGAATTCTTCACAAAACTGAAGCCGTTGACGTCGCAGACAAAGGAGTGGCCGTTGGCCCGCAGGAGGTCGAAGCCGCACACTGTCTGCTGCAGGGGGCGAAATTGGGGGGGGCATGGGAAGAGTTAAAGCAGCCAACATACGCAGCAGGTGCCACAGGCAGAACCAAGCCAAGCAGAAGGATGAGGAGGAGGAGGCAGTGGTGCAAGGAGCAGCCCCCTCCCCCTGCTTGCAGCCACTGAGGTCAGGAGCAGCACCATGATCCTTTGGCAGGCCTCCCAAGAGGGCTTAAGGAGCCCTCGGTGGTGGCTCTGAGGAACCTCAACCAGAAGGTGCTGGAGCCAAGGAGGAGGAAGAACAGGGCCCCTACTACTCAGCTGGGCCTTCCTCCAAAGCTCTGCCCAGGACGCCCAGGCCTCGGAGACAGAGGAGCACAGGGGACTCCTCAGCAGGAGAAGCAACACCAACCTTGAAAGCCACACAGACTTTCCGGGCCACCAGCTTCTCTATAGCCGTCAGCATCACAGGGTAACGGATCTCTTTCCCTTCGCTATCCCGTTCCACCTTCCCATCGAGAGCCGGGGACTTTCGGGCCTCTGCGTGGGCGTAATCTGGGCCGACCGTGTACACCTGAGCCACCAAAGTCGAGAAGTTACACCCTCGTCCCTCCCCCGCAGCCTCCGAGATCAGGTGGCGACTCTGCCCCTCTCCCCTCAAGGCCCTACCTTGACATCTGTGCCGTCTGTGGGCATGAACTCCTCGTAAATGTACGAGCCAGTTTTCCGCACGTTGCTCTCAGGGGAGTAGACGCTGCTGCGGCTCCCAATCTGAAAGAAGCGGGGAATTCAAACGGTGGGAGTGGGGTGCATGTCTGGGGTGGAGGTGCTGGCGGGGGGGCAGGGCTGCAGAACTCCCCTTCCCCAGTCAAGGGGCAATTGTCAGCCCTTCAGAACAAGTGCCCTGCCCTGTTCCAAGCCCATTCTGGCCAAGCAGCACCAGAAAACAGAGTGGGGGGCAGGCCTTGTGGCCTTTCACCTCTGGACAGAGTCCCACTGGGGCCTCTATCACCCTAGAACCACAGTAAGCATCCAGGAATCCCACCAGCTAATCCGACAAACTCTCTCTCTTCCTCTCTTGCAGCACCAAGAGGCCAAATCCGGCTGGGCTCCCAGCTTTACCCTCCCACCCTGCTCACCTTGCGGAAAAGGCGCTGGCTGCCCCCACCAGCTGAGGTGGGATAGTAGATGTAGACATTGTGGTCCTCAGCACTGACCGGCTTCTCCACAAAGGGCTTGGGGAAAATGGCTCCATTGACCTCCACGTGGTCCTCCCCCTCCACGAGGTTGCACTCTGCAGCAAAAGCACAACCATGTTTTTTGTGGGGGTGGGAGAGGCTACCCAAGCCCTCCAGCCCCTGCCCCTCCCCACAGACCAACTGCTTCCCCTTTACAGAGATACAGATGGTGAAGCCAGCCTCTGCCCTGCAAAGGAGGCAAGTAGGTGGAGTTGAGGCTTTATTTGTAGGAGTATTCGTAAATCACCGGCTCATTTTGAAAAACCACAGCAATAAAATCATGTAGGCACCACAAAATTATAAAATCATCAGGCTTTTATATATGGTGGTGCAGCACCTAGGCTGTGGGACAAGGCCTGGACTGACCTCAACTCTCACTTGGCCTGAATGAGCGGGGGGGGGGGGCGGCATGGACATCCCTTTGGAGTCCTCGGGAGGAAAAAGGGAAATGAAACAAAAATATGAAATCCCTACAGGGAGGGTGGCTGGCTGGCTGGCTGCAAGGAGGAGACAAGGCCTGCCTCAGGATCACTCATCCTTAAGGGCAAGTATGGGGAGCAGACCTCCAGGTGTGTCTTTGGACCCCAATTCCCATCACACACCTCAGCCAACAACAAAGTCCGGAGGGCCACAGCAAGCTCCCCAGCCCTTCTTAAGAGGACTCTGCTGTTTGGCATCTGCTCCCCCTCTTGCGTCCAGGACACAAGCCAAACCATCTCCAGAGGAGCCTGAGCAAGAAGGGTGGCAGCTCAGGACAACCCCAACAGCAGCAGGATGCAGCAATTCATCAAACCTCTATTGCAGCATCTAGCCAGAGAAGGATGCTCAGAACAGCCCCCCGGTGCTTGGACCATGAAGGGGTTCAAGACCACACCTGTCTGCTCCAGAAGCAGCTCCACTGACAGAGGTTGCATGCTCAGACCAGAGAAGGGAGCCTTTGCCATCTGCATGTCTCAGACTCTGCAGTCGTCATCCTCACCTTCACCCTCCGCTCACAGGCCACTCACCATCCGGCTTGTCAGGGTCCCGGTTGAGCACTGCGTAGCGAGGCAGGTCAATTCCCTCCTGCTGCAAGATCCGGTACACTTCCCGCCTGCAGAGGAAACGGACCAGAGAGCAAGGATAGCACCTGAAGGATGCTACAGGTCCAGACCCTGCTTCTTAGCAGATCATCTCACAGATCATCCTGCTTAGCCAGCCAGCCAGCCTTTCTCCCCTGTGACATGACCCGACAGGCCTCCCTCTCTGCTGCTGTGGAGCAGCAAGGGAAGCCCAGGAAAGACACTACCCAGACCTCAGGCTAGGCTATCTTAGGCTGCACACATGCTGGACCCTGGACCTTTGAAGCTGAAATAGATATCTGCATTCTCACGCAAGTGAGATAAAATATAAATAACCTCTCCTACTCATCTAAATCCAACAGTTTGCCTTAGGAGGCAGCCTATCGTAAGCCACCAATATCCCCTCCATAGCATCTCCGCATTCCTACCTGTCCTGGATGTAATACTGCATATTGAGGTCGTTGATCAAAAAAGGGCTGCGGAGCTTGGCGTAAGCAACTGCCTTGTCCAGTGGGAAGCCTGCAAGAGAGAAAAAGGAGCAGAGGAGGCTGGCCAGTTGGGGGCACACGAACCAGGCAGAGAAGGAGCTGGGGTGGCAGCCTGGGAGGCATCCTACCTTTGGAGTGGAAGGAGATGAGGCAGTCACAGGGCGGCCAGTTCTCTACAGGCTCATTCAGAATGACGTCCTCCCCCATGATCACCACCGTGATGTATTCAAACTTGCACAGCCGCTCCAAGATCTGTGTCATGGGCTTCGACTTGGACTTTTTGGTCATGGCACAAATGCCCACCACAATCTGCCGCTCCGGAGGCTGAGGGGAATGCCAGGAGATCGTCACAGAGCCACGGAAGGGAACTGCCCACCCGCTGCTGCATCATCAAGGAGTGCCTTCAGCAAGTCTGGATAACAAAGGGGCCGCACAAACGCACAGACCCTGGTCCAAGAGCAGCTCCAAGGGGAGACTGGGGGGTTGGTGTCCTTTTGCCCAATGGAAGAGGCAGCTGGTAGCCCAAGGGAGAGTCTGCCTTAAAGGAGACATCCCATCCACAAGCAGTTAAGTGGAGAGAACACATGAGCTATGTGCCTTCTCCACAATAGGCACCGAGTTGTTTCACTGCCTTAAATGGGACTCTTTGGGAGTAAGAGAGCAGATTACTACCAAGGTGGAAGAAGCACCTCTTCCTTCCCCCAGAAGCCCCAAAATAGGGCAGCTTCTGCCCAAGTGCAGAGAGGTGCCCCCGTTTGCAACAAACAGCATCTGTTCTAGAGAGCTGCAGCCTCCCCAGGTGCAGGAGGGCAATTGGCCTAGTTGGGGAAGCCAAAAGGTCCTCCCTCTCAGATTACAGCAGCAGGCTCCCATCTGTACACCACACACACATCCCAGAGGCCCAGGCATAAGCCATATGTTGAGGGAGCCCATTGGCACCTATGCCAGCCACACAAGGAGGCTCCTTACTGATTCTTCCTCCTCCTCGTCATCCTCAAAGAAGTCAATCTCATCCATCTTCATGTCTGATCCTGGGAGGTCCACCTCGTCATCTCGGGAGCCCACAAAGAACTTGGGAGTCGTGCCGTCGCCCTCAACGGTGGTCGTCCAGGACGACATTCCAGACTGGGTGGCCAACCATCCCGCTCTGCAAGCAAGCCAGAATCAAAAGGGGACAGGGAGAGGAGTCTCCCCTGTGGCAGCAGAAGCCAGCTGGGAGGGAGAATCACCCAACCCTCCAGCGTTGCAGGAAGCAGCGAGGTGGTCTTACACTGCTGCATGTTTCAGGCTGCTGGCTAAATCAAGGAGGCAGAGGTGGCGCTTGGCCTGGCAGCTGCTTCCACCAGGGAGCCTCGCAGGGCACAGGCAGCTTCCTCAAACGCCGCCAGCTCTTCACCAATCTGGGCAGCCTAAGGAAAGAAGGAAGTGCTGAGGATGGCAGCCACAAAGCGTCGCAAAAGAAGCACGTGGCTGGACAAGGACGCCAGCCCTGTCCATCCTGCCAAGGAGGCTGATGGATGCCAGGGCCAGAGAGGGAGGCATGGGCATGCCAACTTGCAAAGCTGGCAGCCACAGCAGGGTGGAAAGCAGAACTGCCCTTGCCACTCCCACAGAAGAAGAAAACGGGTCTTGGGACCACCACAGCTTTGCTGGCTCTTCCCTAATAATTCCTAACAATGGACTTCTCGCAGACTTCAGAAATTTTTTAATAAGGAAAAGGCCATCTTGAGCTAAAGGAGCCCCACCTTTAACTTAAAATATTCTCTTTGCAAGGGCACAGATCCTTGAGAGCAGAGTGGGTCAGGGCTGGGCATGAGAAGCAGAGGTCCAAGGAAAAGATGCTGGCTGGAACTTGCTTCTGAGAAAACGCACTTTGGACTGCATTGGCACTTGCTGGGAAAGTGAGTTGGGCTGATGCCACCTGCCAGCCATGACTGCTCCCCAAGAGGCCGAAGGTCAGTCTTGACAGCCTCAACTGTGGCGTGCAAGGATGAAGAACTCATTGACCCAGCACTTCTCATTCTCCAAGAAGAGCTCAGCTGCTGGGTCAGGCTAAAGGGGCTTATCTGTACCAGCATCCAGCTTCCCACACTGGCCCCGTAAATGCATCCATGGGAAGCCCCAAAGGATGCCTGGAGTGCAGCAGAAGCCCCCACACCATGCTCCCCACCCGTGGCTCCCAGTGACTATCCTTCAGAAGCTCACACCCACTGGCTCTCCAACAGCAGAGGTGGAAACTAGCCATAGTGGCTAGTAACTCTGAGGACTAAAACCTCCACTCTTGAAGCCATCCAAGTCGGTGACCATGGCTACATCTAGTAGCAGGCAGTTCCATAGTCCTGCCTTTTCCCTAGCTGGGATCTTCCAGCTCTCGGCTTCGTTTGGAGCTCCTTGTGGGATAGAGAGGCGAAGGAAAACTTTTCCATGCCCGCCATCGCCATACGGGGAAAGAGTTCACAACTGGGGCCCCCAGCCCGATCCCTGCAAGCAGAGAGCAAGCTCCTCAGGAACGTGGAGAAACGGGCCCCCCACACCCCACCCGCGCCCCCTCCTCCCCTCGTACGCAGAGAGCTCCCCACTCCCACGGAGGTTCCTGTGCGCGGAGCGGGGGAGGAGCGGCTCCCGCGGAAATTCTCCCCGCCCCTCCCCCCCAGCCATTGAAGCCGGGGCCCCGAGGGGGCGGTGCTAGGTAGGAGTGCCCCGTCCCGCTTCCTCTCCGGGGGTGGGGGGCGCGCCCAGTGGCGCGCGCCCGTTATTTCCCTGCCGGCGCCTCGGCCCCGCGCTCGCTCGCTCGCTCACCCGCCTACCTGCCTGCCTGCCTGCCTTCGGGACAGCCTAACCCGGCAGCTCCGCCGAACCGCGCCCAGCCAATCGGCGCGTGTTTACTGCCGACAGGCAGCCAATGGGCGCGCGGCAAGGGCGGGACGCGGCAAGGTCAGGCTCTCCTGTCCCCTGGGCTTCTCCGCTGCGCCAGGGCGGCCCCTGGTGGACGAAAGGAGAAGTGGCTCCGGTGGAGCAAGAGGGCGAGCGGCGCCCCCTGCAGGCCGAAGGGGAGGCGGCTCAGGAGCGTGCCCCGCCCGAGGCTCATTCATCCCAGCCACGGGGTGTGTTCTCCGTTGCAAGCCTGCAGCCTCGGGACACGCGAGGATGAGGAGTGCTCTTTTCCCCAAAGGGGACACCCAAGTGCAGGGAAGAAGGCGGAGGACCCACTGGGCTCCAAGGCTTCAGCACCCGAGGCCAGTGGCCGCCCATCCCCATCTTCTTGCTCTTGCTGTCTTATGCCATCCAGCCCCACACCAGCAGGCAGCCCAGTATTGGGGAACTTTTGATGTTTGACGTCTTATTTTTTTATACTGCTTGTGCTGGAAGCCACCCAGAGTGACTGAGGCAGCCCTGTCAGATGGGCAAGGGTATAAATAATAAAAGTTTAATTATCATTATTATTGGGACACAGCTTGGACGGCCACACACCATTTTCCATTATTGTTCTCACAGTACTGTACATTTGTTACTGTGGCTGATACTTCTTGCACTCGATTATATGTAAAACAGGGCAGATGAGACAGGGTTTTTTTATCTTTAGTGACAGTGTGAATCATGAGACCTATATACAGTGCGAGGGTGTTTCTCTATCTGAAACGTAAAGTACACTCTAAGTATTTTTCCCCCACGTTTCATGCTGTTAAATCAAATAATGGAGGGGGGGGAAATGAAGGTTTTATGGTCATGGGAGTTTCTAGTCCATCTTCCCGGGCCAATACGCGTGTGCCCTTATGTCCAGGGCTTGTGTGGCTTGTGATGAGACAAGTGTTGCAAATTAGTTCCACAAAAGCAGGGCAAAGAAAATGAGACACACACACACACACACACACACACACACTGAGTTTCTGTGTCTGCAAATGCTGCATCAGTGCACAACCATCCTCCACTTTGCAAAATGCCAGCTTTAAATTCTCTGGGTGCAACTTTTAGGTGCCATTTGTTTATAAAGTGTTCTCCATTCTGTTCCTTGAAATGGGAACACCCAAACCCAGAGAATACAGTGGTACCTTGGGTTACATACACTTCAGGTTACATACGCTTCAGGTTACAGACTCCACTAACCCAGAAATAGTGCTTCAGGTTAAGAACTTTGCTTCAGGATGAGAACAGAAATCGTGCTCCGGCAGCGCGGCGGCAGCAGGAGGCCCCATTAGCTAAAGTGGTGCTTCAGGTTAAGAACAGTTTCAGGTTAAGAACTGACCTCTGGAACAAATTAAGTACTTAACGCGAGGTACCACTGTACCAAGGAGATATTCAGAGCCAGGATTATACCTTAATGTGTACAAATCTGCTTCTTCGTGGGGGTGGGAGGGATTGGGAGGAACTGAAGGCAGAGATGCTCTATGTACTTTTGGAATCCAATAAAATGTTTAATAAAAACATTTCTTAAAAAAAACCATCTGTTTTCTCATGGGTGATTATTTACTCAAGATTGGGCAATTTCCCACCTCTGCAGAGTAGCTGCTAAACAGGACTTGGGCTCCTGGGCTCCCCCATGATTAAATGGGCACAAGATGTAGGTCATAACATTATGGTGCAAGATTGGGGAAAAATTATGGAAAACTGACTTAAAATTTACAGATTGTTCCCTATTGAAGGAGAATTACATGAAGATGATGTACAGATGGTACACAACACCAGTGCAGTTAGGGAAAATGTACAAAACTAGTTCAAATATATGTTGGAAGTGTAAGGAAAAGGAGGGCACATTTTATCATATGTGGTGGGATTGTAAGGTAATTTTAAAAAATTGGGAAATGATATACAATGAATTGAAAAAAATGTTCCATTTAACATTTGTTAAAAAACCCGAAGCATTTTTGTTGGGGATTGTAGGGAAAGACCTGCCAAAAAAGTTGAAAAACATCTTCATGTATGCGAACACGGCTGCGAGAGTTCTGGTAGCACAATGATGGAAGACTGAAGAAATCCCAACTAAAGAATCATGGCAAGAAAAATTTATGGGCTATGCAGAACTGGCAAAACTGACATATAAACTATGGGACAAGGATAACTGTGACTTTAAGGATGAATGGGAACCCTTTGCAAAATATCTGAACATGCAACAAAGCGAACTGGACTCCTTGGCAGGTTTTGAATAAACATTCACAAACTTTTTATTGATAATAATCAGCTAAATAGTTTGAGGATCTATACAACTTTGTAACATGCAGAAAACAGCATTCTTAGAGAAACCAAAGACTGGAACTGAGGGAAGTCGGGGGATGGGTGGGTTTTGTGTGGAAGGGGGGAAGGAAGGAAAAATGGGGGGGAAAACAAGGATGATATGTTTTTGGATAATATGTCTTGCTATAATTTTGAATAAAAAAATTATTAAAAAAAGAACTTTGCTTCAGGATGAGAACAGAAATCACATTGTGGCGGCACGGCGGCAGAAGGAGGCCCCATTAGCTAAAGTGGTGCTTCAGGTTAAGAACTGACCTCTGGAACAAATTAAGTACTTAACGCGAGGTACCACTGTACCAAGGAGACATTCAGAGCCAGGGTTATACCTTAACGTGTACAAATCTGCTTCTTCGTGGGGGTGGGAGGAATTGGGAGGAAGTGAAGGCAGAGATGCTCTATGTACTTTTGAAATCCAATAAAATGTTTAATAAAAACATTTCTATAAAAAAAATCATCTGTTTCCTCATGGGTGATTATTTACTCAAGATTGGGCAATTTCTCACCTCTGCAGAGTAGCTGCTAAACAGGACTTGGGCTCCCGGGCTCCCCATGGCCTCTTTTCCTACACCCTGCCCTGGCCAAGTCCCCCACAACCAGCATCCCAGGGGTTCAAAATCCTCACCAAGCCTCCACAGGCCACATGTAGCCAAGGTGAGCAGCAGGAAATAAAGGCAAGCGGTGTTGTCTGTGGACCTCTGTGGCAACTGGGACAATGTAATCTGAGGTGGAAATGGCATCTAGCGTTGCTTTTGAAAAACCATTTCTGCTGCGACTCTGGCGCTTTTCACATTGGTGACATCTTGCTGCAGAAGCCCAGTAGCCCAAAAGTGTGGACAGGCCCTTTTCCCAAGCTAACTGGGATGCCCTTTGTGGCTTGATTTATGACAGGCACCATCTTTCTGCTTTGGAAGGGAAGAAGTAGCAGGGTCGGGGGAGCCACAGGAACCAAGGGCAAGTCTAGACAGATAATAAAAGGATATATACAATTTTACAGTATGCAGAGAATTACATGAGTTGAGAAATCAGAGAGAGGAGCTGAGGGAAGTCTTGGGGGGGAAGGAAGGAGAGTTCTTCGGGGAGGGGGAGGGGAAAAAGGCGGCGAAATAGTGAAGAAGATTTGTTCTGATAATTTGTTATGTTGAAATTGTTAATACAAAATTAAAAAGAAACCAAAGGCAAGTCATGCTCCTGGGAGGCTCCTCAAACAGAAAACCAGAGGAAACTGAGAGACAAAATGCTTCCAGCTAGATTTATCTCCACCCCCTTGGCAGTTTATGACTGAGACATTGCCAGGGTGCGGCTGCAGCCAGAGACTTGCCGCAGAGACCAAAGGTTGTAATGAGGTCATCAGGAGTACGTGACGGGAATCACCTAAGCATACCTGCCACAGGTAAGCAAGGGCAGGCACTCCTTCAGGTAGCGGCCACAGCAGCTTCTGGTTCTTTGGAAAGATTGACTCAGCAAGCACGATTGGTAGATCTGAGGTTTTTTGCTGCCAAAGGAACTCAGGCGTGGGTGGCTGTTATCAGCAGACTCTGAAAGGGACCCTTATCAGAAGAAAGGCCCTATGAGAGAAGGCGTCCTTCCTCCAACTACCATATGCACATGGCTGACCCACCCTCAAAGGCCTGCTGTAGCTGGCAAGGGGGACTGGTGGAGTGGAGTTACTTGAGAGTCGCTGGGCAGATGGCAGCACATGGGAGAGACCTACAGAAGGGCTTGTGATGGTGGAGAAGCATCATCTAAGTCTGTGGCAACACAATCTGGGTCCCTGTCTTCTTCCCAGCTTTGACCGCAGTGGTCTGGGCACTGGTAGCCTCAAGATTGGACTACTGCGATGCACTCTGCATGAGGCTTCACTTGCACTTGGTGTGGAAACTGCAGTTAGTGCAGAATGCTGCAGCATGAATGCTGACAGGAGTCAGAATCTGTCAGTATATCACATCCCTGCTCAGAGATCTGTGTTGGCTGATGATTTGTTACTGGGCCAAATTCAAGCTGTTACAATTAGCATCGTTGGCATCCGTCTCTCGGGAGACAGTGGAAGAGTGTGCCTTCAGAGGTGAAGTCAAACCGTTGGAGTGTTGCAGTGCCTACTGAGGCTGTAGAGACAGGAGAGACATGTTTTATAATTGGTATACTGTATTGCATATAAGTATACATTAGTATATAAAGCCCTTAACAGCTTGGGACCAGTCCACTGTACAAATGCCACCTAATGCTGCTTGCAAGGAAACAATCCTTCATTGTGGATCAGAACTCCCTGCCCATTG